ACCATGTAGCATCAAATGCTGGCACATCACAGCACGGTGCATACAGAAGCTGAGAAAGGCACGTGAGCTATTATCAATAAAGGGGGGATTGAGCAGATGTTGTGGCATAAATATGAGGCGCAGGAAATCGTCATCGAAATCTGCCCAGCCTTGGGCAATGGTGGTGGGGAGCCCTGTTTGTCGTTTGTGTTGAGTTAATTTACCGGCATGTTCGTGTTCAAAGCAGGGGTGCCAGGCTAGCCGGACTTGAGTAAAATCCACAAGCTGCACGGCTCTGCACAATGGACTTTACGGAGCGCAAACAAGATGAGACTGATATTCGGCATAATCTTTGACGGGGATTAGCCCAACTTGCCGAAGATCCCGCATCACGCTCTGTAGAAAGGTTACGGCCTCGCGTGCTGCAGGCGAGTGTGAAGCACCAGGTGGCGCTCAATCCGCTGAATGAAGTCCAGGGCTCGCTCGGGGCTAGCAAGGAGGGCAATGGCTGCACAAAAAAACTGAATTCCAATCCTTGCATCCTCACACCCGGCAAGTTTAGCCGCCCGGCAACCGTCTGCCGTCTGCCGTGTGCCAGGCCGCCTGGCCTTCTTACAGGATGTTGGCTCGGAAGCATATCTGGTCTGGAAGTGCGTGCCGCAGCCTGCGCACGCCGCTGCGACTCACAACATATGTAGGTGCAACGAAAATCATTGAACTCAATGTTTGTTTGCACGCCTCAACAGGTCCTGCCAGAGCGATCTGCTCTGAAGTCGCTGAGGCTGAAGTTTGAGTCTGCCCAGCTCCATGTTGCCGTGTTGCACGTCTTCCCTGCGCGATGCACAACGCAGGTTTGTCCAAACTCACCATCCACGCCATTGAAAGCAGGCTGAGGAATCCCTGCTTGTATGGCATTGACGGCAGTCAGCTCCCCGATGCAAGGCCGATGTGCTTGCGCCCATTTGGAGTTGTGCCGATAATTGGGAGGCTGGGGTCAGTCTAACGGTGATCAGCTCTTCATCTTGCAACGATACTTTGCTGACACGCCTGATGTGTTGGCCCAAACATAGGAGTGGAGAGTCTGGCTCAGGGTGACTTCTGTCACGCAAAAGCTGTTCTGAGGCTCCGCCTCGTTTTGGCCAGGAGGGCCACCGCACCCTAGTCACCTCACGAACCATGCGATGTCGTCGACCAATCGCGACACATGGCCGGCCACCTGTTTCTGAAGTCAAGCATATCCAGCGCCGTCGCGTCGTGGCAGGCAGAGGGGATTTGGCCTCGCATCGGTCAGAGGCCTGGCCCATGACTCCACACAGGCCGAGGTTTCCGACGAGCAGGACGTAGTGGAACAAGCACAAGGACCCCACTTGTATCGTGTTTCGCTGCCAGTAGTGGAGTAGGACAGAGCGGGTCGTGCCTTGAATGCCGTTTTGGGGAATGCCACCGAGGCAGAGCTGCAGCGTTTCCCAGATCGCCTCGTACGAGGCAACCGTAAGTGGAGGCACGGTGCGGAGAGCGTGGTTGGCCCGCGGCGAGGCACACATCGTAAGGAGGAGCCACGCACACGGCAAGTCCGGCAGTTTAGGCAGCTGGCGCAGGAGCTCCCACTCGGTCTGCAGCCGTTGTTCCGCCCACGATGCGACGAACTGCGCATGGCCGATTGGGGTGCCCAGCACAAGGAGCCCTCGTTAAACTCGTCCCCTCGCCATACATCCGCCCCCAGCGATTCAATGCCGGGAAGGGGTCCTGCACCATCTCGACCACAGTGTCGCGAGCGGCACATGCCCGGTCCCGCGTAATCAGGACATACAGATCGTCCAGGAATGCGAGCAAGCGGCCGGACGGATGAAGGGACGCGGCGGCTTTGGGATGCCGTGCTGTCCCAGAACATACAGGGCTCGGGCCAGCGGGTTTCCTTGCTCGCAACTTTCGCCTTGCTAGATGCTGCGGCATCGCCCGTCCGAGTCCCAACAACAATATGTGGAGGGCTGGCCATAAGAGAGCCGCACGAAGGGGACAAGCTGGTGCGATCTCTTGGAGCCGCTAGAAAACATGCGCGGGACATGCTACCATACGCGCTCCGCTCATCGAGGGATTAAGGACCTCGAGCGCTGTGCGTGGTCTGCCAAGGCGTCCGTACCGGCCCATGCCTGCAGAGCGAACTGGTACGGGCGCGTTGCTTCATCGAAAATGCCCGGTCATTCGCCAGTTGCGTCGCTGCAGAAGCGAGGAGCTCGAGAGCGGGCATGTCGATACAAAAAAAAATTTTCAGGTGCTTCGCATGCCCGGCACCCACCGCTGTGGCCGCCGGGTCCGAGTTGGAGGGGCCGGGAAGGTTGATGCGCCAGGACAGCCGGCGTCGGACGGGGTCAGTCAGCGCACGCCCGCTCGCGTCATTGCCGGGGGCGAGCTCGGCCACCGTGAGCAGTTGGCGAGTTCGGGACACTTCACCAGCGCAAGCTTGCTCCCGCTTGCGTTCGATTAACGCGTCGGCATCCTGCGTGGCTACCATAGCTGCGCCGTTGCGGGGTTGTCACGCCGAGCAGCCTCTAAAACTGGAGCTGTGCGCGCCAAGAGCATCCAAGAGCATTCGCGGTGTGAGGATAAGCAATTGGGGCGCCCTGCCATGCATCCGTGGGGTCGTGCAGGCGGCTCAGTGCGGTCACCAAAGCCGTCCGAACCGCCGACAGCATGAAAGGCGGCACGTCCTGCATTGTTGGCACAAGGCATCGCAGCTCTTCCTCCAAGTCCACAGCATCCAGGGCGGCCCAAGATGTTTCGGAGATGCCGGGCATTGAGGCGCAAGCAGTGGTGCTCGGTGGCTCAGCCTCAGCTGGGCAACAGGGGACAACGCCCTCATCACCGTCGTCGCTGCGGGGCGTTCGGGTTAGCTCGGCGGCAGCCGTCGGGCCCCGTACACATCAGCACGGCGGCTGTTATGGCAGTGGCGCTGCAGGCAGTCCAACCAGCGCCTCAGCTGTCGTTCGGTCACTCTCGCCAGTTTCGCGCCGTGCGTCATGGGCCTCGCATTCCGCAATCGCGAGCAAAGACCGCGCGATGCAGGTTGGTGCGACTGGCCGGGAGCCGCTCAGCAGCAGTTGAAGCTCGGCGAACCGTGAACGGGTGCCGTGGCACCGTCCGCGCCTCGAGGGGAAGCGAACGGGGTCGTGTCATGTCGTGTCGGACAAGTGTCGACGCCGTCAGATGCCGATGGATGCTCTGGCGGGGCCGCTTGGCGAGACGGGACCAACGGCATTTGGGCAAAAGCATGAAGCACACGTTCCCGACGTTGCGCCACATCGCTAGTGCCGCTGGTGGTGGGTGGGCCGGGATGAGCAGCCTCGCCAACGCACTGGCCGAGGTATGGGTGCGGCGTCCAGGTACTGACGTCGCGACGTGGCGCGGCCTGGCAAGCGTAGACTCCTTCAGCGGGGTCGTGTTTCCAAGTGCACTCTCGCCGGCTTTCAGTGGGGTCGTGCTTCCAAGTGCGCGTGTGGGTTCTCGGGCTCGCATTATTGCGTAGCTCGCAACATGGCCCGCCGGGCATCCACGCGTCCACGAGTGGGCGTGGTGTTGGGGGCCTCCGGGCCAGTCCGTGCTGGGCGGGCTGGAAGGTGTTGTGGTGCCGGGGCGTGTGCGTGCGACTCGACTGCTTGTTGCAGAATGGTGCACAGCAACGTTGTCGGTGACTGCTCGAGGGTCGCGGCCAGTTCGCATTCGCCCCCGGCCTCCACGCATGCCAGCAGCTCCGAAGCAGCCACCATCCAGGCTGGCCGACATGGGCGGCGCGCCATAAGGCGTCCCAAAACCCAGTGCCCGAGACACAGCCAGCCCCAGCACAAGGAGCAAGGCCCCCACCCGCAAAAAAATAGCGAAGCGCGCCGACCAAGCAGGTGAGCACGGCGTGCGCAGCGGCTTCGCGGCAGGCAAAGTCGCCCGCGCCGATTCCAACCCCCATCTCAGGGTGGCGGCCAGGAAGCCCACGCCGAAGGCCACGGGACACACGGCCGGGGCGAAAGGCAAGTCAGGCCGTGGAGTTTTGACTTGAGCCTATTCTGCTTGTCCTTGAGCCAAAATGGCTTGAGCCAAAATAGATGCGTTTGTTTGGGTTGGTGTGCCCGAAATTATGCCCATCCGACTAGGAATATGTTTTGGAGCTTTGTTTGATGGCAGCATCACGGATCTCCATTCGTACTGACCTTACTATTTACTAAAATGGTGTCCCGAAGATGCCCACAGAACGCCTGTCGTCACTCGGCAACATGCGACTGTGTCATGCGCAAACATGTCCCAGACATTTCCAGACATTCAGCCCCACAGTGACCATGCACGGCGGCATTTCGCTTGAGCTCTCAATCAAGCACTGAGCATTTCCGACAAGTGTGTGAGGAACTCAACATGACCTTGAATCCCTTTCGACATCATGGCCCATGCAAACATCGCGAAACACTGCATGTTTTGTATATAATTAGCGCAGACCAGACTGCTATGCGTATGCGCGCAACTACGAATGTTGTGGTTCCGTAGGGGTTAAGCTCCTTTCATGTTGACATAGCCGCAGTTCTGTCATGCTTCACGGTTTCCATCGATGGAGAGATGGCGCCTGCAGGGTGGGAAGCCTAGGAGAGCCGAGGTGTGCCAGTGGACATTTGACAGGCCGCCGCTACCTCATGCACCGTTTGATGATCTTGCACGGCAACAGTTCTCGCCGCAGCAATTTACACATGAGGTGACGTAAGGTTGTATGTTGCTAATATTTTTACTTTTATGTCGATTAACCAGCCAATCTATGTAGCGAGACGGCGGAGGCTTGGCAAAACGTGAAACACGTTGCTATGGTAGTTGCGGAAATGTTTTTCGTCGTACCCAAGAGATAACAGTCCAGTGGTGTGGTTGTTCCAAGCCAGCCTGATCCACATCTTGTTCTGGCGGTCATTTCGGTTGCCATCAAGTACGGTCAGCCATCACCCGGTCCTAATTAGGACAAGCAGAACCGCACTTCCTTGCGAGTGTAGACAACGATGGCAAGACGGGAATCATGGATGGGAAGTGGTGTTTTGGTCCGATGGCGGAAAGAAGGTGGGTTTGGCTCCCCGCAACATTTCAGCAGGATGTTCTGATGTGATCGTGTTACTAGTTTGAAGACTGGAGCGAGGACTACCAAGACAGTTTAGCCGAGGCTTCATAAAGCCTTCTGATGGCAGCGAAGATTTGTTCTGCCATGTCAGCCAGCTGAGACAAGTCGTCCCCGAGCCAGCACAAGCTTGTTGTCGTGAGAACTTAGCCGTCTATGCACGCCTGTGTGTTCCATGATGCCGCGCGCAGTTGCATGCCTGTATATAAGGAGGGCACCATCAAAGAGGGCGACCGCGTTCGCTATACAGTCACCCAAGACGGCTTGTCTGGGACCCTCGGATTGATGAAGGTGCAGCAACAAGGAGCGAATATTTGGCGGGCGCATCTGCGCCAACTGGGAAACTAATATAGGTATCGTCGATGAGTCATCAAGTTGCGCTGCCATGAGTGAGAGCATGCCAGATCGGGGCCTTCACCTCAGATCATGCTTGACTTGTTTCCTGAGTGGAATCCTAAGCCTTGTTTGCTGCTAGTGGCCGCCGCAGAAGTCGGCAAAGACCATGTGCAATTGTCACAGCCGTGACGCAGACATCAAGCACAGTTAAGCAAGCCCAAACACGTCCAAAGGAAGCGTATGGCTGGTAACGTTGTGCTCGATTTGACCCACGGCCGCAGCCGCAGTCGGAGGCGGCGTCGCAGGCATGGGCCTTGCATGAGTTTTGCAGGGGCACTTTTGTTTTCTCAGGGTGCTTGGAAGTGCTTGAAGATCATGTTTCGCATAGTTCACGGAGAAGAGTTGCTCGGTTCTTGGGCTCCGTGCACTTGTGGTTCGGGATGTTCAAATGTGAGCCCCAGTCCATCTTTGTCCCAATCCTATTCGCATTCTGATCCTCATTCCCACTCCAATTCCTGCTCCTGTTTCTATCTCGATCCCAATCTCTCTGTCCATGTTTGTGTTTGGTTATTCAGGGGCTCTAACCGACAGTTATTGCCAATGTTACTCGTATGTTGTTATGCCGTGATGTATGTTAGGCTTAGGTTGAGGTTGTAATACCATGTCTGACATGAGTATTGTGCGCAGATTGAAGACCTCCGCGCCAGAGGTCCAGCACCAGCAGTAGCAGCCGCAGCCGCAGCCGGGACCGCAAACGGCGGAGCCGCAGCGGAAGCAAAAAACACCGCAAAGGCTGGACCTCAGAGTCGCTTGCGCTTGTGTTTTCGTGGGAAGGTGGATGTTTCTGAAAGTTTTGACAGGTGGTCCTGTGAACGGGCTTCCTGCAGTCTTAAGGATGATCTGAAATTGGTTGCACCGACTCACCGACCCAAGCCACTTGTGTTGAAGGAAGCAGATCTCGGGACGCTTCCAAAGCGAAAGATGGAGAGAAGGAGTCGGAGCCAAAGGCCTTCCTTCATTTCTTTCGTTTCGTTTCGCATGCTTACATTGCTTACATGGCTTACAACACGGAAACAGCCATCTAGACAAGTCTTCGCAAAGTGACCAGCTGATAGCTTGATGGCAGTTTTTGGATCTCGGGCATGCTTTCTCGCGTTTGCGCGCATGCGGATATGCTTGTGCAGCGCAAGGCTGCCGAACAGCTTCCCAATCAAGCCCACGACTGCTGTTGAGGAACTTGCAGGGGTGCGTCCAGTTTGGGTGTCCTGCTGGCTGCGTGGTGCCGGCTGTCCTTGCATACCATGTGCCCCTTACCTTCCCGTGTAAGATCATGATCGCCATGTGTCCACAGTTTCACCTAGCCCAAAACGCCAACCCGCGCTGATCAGGAGAAGAAGGAAGAGAAAGACAAGGCAAAGGATGCTGAGAAAGAGAAGCACAAGTCCAAAGACAAAGATAAAGATAAGGAGAAGGTCAAAGACAAGGAGAAGAGCAAAGACAAGGACAAGGCCAAAGACAAGGACAAGGACAAAGACAAAGAAAAGGATAAAGGTAAAGACAGAGACAAGGACAAGGACAGGAGCAAGGAGAAGAAAGACAAAAAGACAAAACATAAGGACAATGACCAGGATGCCGAAGATGAAAGACATCAGGACAAGAACAAGGTGGAGAAAAAGGATAAGTCCAAGGAGAAGAAGAAGAAAGACAAGGAAAAAGACAATGAGAAGGCGGCCAGCGAAGATTGAGGAGGAACGCTCCCTGGGCACGCCCCATGCTGCCTTGGCATTCCGCTGTCGATGATGATCACCTCCGGTGGTTCATTTCACGGCCGTTTTCGGGACAAAGGATCCTGGTCAGAGAAATCCTGCAAAGTCACCTGTCGAGGATGGACAGCCCCTGAACCCCAAACCCTAAGCCCCTAAACCGCACGATGTCCAGATTCACCTTCGACTTCAACGGTGAGTTGGAGATGCAACATTACGAAACGTAGTAGTAGACGCATGGGGTTTCTGGGAGGTTCCAGTGACGTTGACACAAAAGTTACTACAAGAACAGATGTCCCGAACCCCCGGCGTAGTTGAGTTTTGAGTGTTTCACCATGGCGATATACCGCGCAGACGCAACCTAGAATTACAAAGAAGGGATGTTGCCACTCAGCTGTTTCTACGTTTTCAGCGAGGGCTTCAGCATCGAGGTTTGACACGGTCCTTGACCGGAAACGACCGCATTGGCCTGGTGGGTTTGGCGAGTTGTACTACCGTTAGAAAAGCTGCACAGCAGCTGCATTTAGACACTGTATATAGATGTATATAGAAGGTTCTGCTTCTGCATATCGCCGTATAGATAGGTGCTGGACACAATCGTAACTAGTGCTTGCAGTTCCTGCTTTTTATACGCCGATGTTCCAGGGCACACTAGCAAGACGCGACAAGTAGCCACAAAGCACGTATGATAACCGGCAGTCGTCTGCTGCATCGGAGAAGCATGTGATTCGATGAGTTTTAAAATGACAGCATGTAGCAAGATAGTGGGACATGTTGTGACATGTTATTGCAGCTGGTAATGTAAGAATCTGCGTTGGTATGTCGGTCAGGCAATTGAACCATAGTGTAATTCATGGAGCGGGGAGCGGCCGGTGGCGATGCAGTATGAAGCAGTAAACTACAACAAAAACTGGCAAGCAGCCTACACGAATATCTGCATGATGCAGTGCACTGTAGCGAAGCCATATGCATTTATGAGAAATGATATGAAATACTTGTATATACTATGCATCTATACAAATATGCATATACAACCACAGCAATGTTATTCTGCGTTCCTCCTTTTCTTGGTTGAAGGTCTCACGTTCTGAGGTCTGCGTCTTGCCTCCGTCTTGGGCGTTTTGGTTTTGTGGATTCAGCATTGGGCAGTGGGGATGAGGCTCGGGAGACTCCTGAATGGTTTCTACAGCGATCGGGCTTCAAGCAATTAAGACGAGGTAGCATGCTTGCACTATAACATTTATCCAGGCAAAAAATGATGAAAACCAGAATAACAGTAGGAATGCTTGGTGAGATAGTGCTTAACAATCACAAATACCAGACTGAGAATAGTAGTAACACACACTGGTATTGGCAAGCATACTTCCCAGGGCGCGTCTCTTCGGCCCTGGGGCTCGGGTGCGTCTGCACGGCCTTCAAGCCAAGCAGGGATCCCCAAAAACGGCCCACGAAGGCTTGCAGTGCAGGGGAAGAGTCACACATATAGAATGTAGAGGAAGTTTTTTGTGGGTTTTGCAGTGGCTTCAAGGGCTTTATGAGGGTTTTTGAGACCGGGTCCCTGAAATGTGGGGTATCCTACCCTCGAGCACTTATCACAAAGATCCTCCTTTTCGGGCTCTATTGTCAGGTTCCGATTTCGCTGAAACCCGTCAACGGTTAAACGAGTTACGTATGGGGTTTATGAAGAATTGCAGGGATTCGTGTGGGCTTAGAAGGAGGCTTCGGGTCGGTATCGGCGTCCATTTGTTCTGAGGCAAGGGAATTGAGGGGTTGGAGGTTCATTGGCAGTATGGCTTCATGGGTACAACAGACGTGAGAAGTCTTGAGGCTCCGGAGGTTGGTCTTGAAGAAACTCTGCTTCAAAGTCCAAGGCCCGAGCTCAACGACAAAGAGGGCATCTGCTCTGGCCTTAGAGACTTCTTGGGTAATCGGATGTCTAGGAGATCTGCAGTGGCTGTCCCATCGAGGTGCGGCAGGAAGCCTGCACCCTAAAGCAAGCAGAGTTTCGGTGGAGAGGGCAGAGGGAACGCACAAGGTGATCGGGCCGCTTAAGTAGGGGAGGTTTGGCTCCTGAGCTCTGAAAAGCCACCCGCCCGCCTGGGCATTTGGATCGCAAGCCTTAGGTATGCTCGGCCCTAAGGCCCTTCATGACATGGCAGCAGCACCAAAAACGCTCCATGTTTCCGATTTATTCTGCGTTGTGCAAGCCTGACAGCCTCCCTTCACAGTTCGGTGCCTAGCTTTCCTAGTCGGAACCCTGCAAAGTTGGCACTTTAGCACAGCACAGACACGCATGAGACAGAGACACAGACAGAGACACTCCAACCCAACCCGCAGCTGGAAGCCTTGAGTTCAAAACCCCGACAGAGAGCGAACCCCTTGCAGTTGGCGACACCAACCCAATCACTGGGAGCTGGGCTTTCAGATTTGGAGTTTTCAGGTAGCTGATAATTGCAGGTCGGAGCTTGCAAACTATGCAGAGGCAGTTTCAGAGCTAAGCATAGTGGACATGACCTCGGCGCCCAATGCTGAGCCGGCTGCAGGCTGCAGGGCTTTGCTTGGAATCGATTTGGGCAGTTTGCGCGTCTTCGGGGCCGAGTCCGGCCCATGCTGTTCTGCAGATGTAGTGAGTCGGCAACATGCTAGATCGGACCGACGGTCTTTGCAGATCGTGTGCTTCAAAACATGAAACGGATGCTGCCGACGGTTGTCGTCGCCCCTCCAGCAGGAACAGCAGTGGCCGAAGCAGTAGCAACAGAACATCAATAACAAATGTCGTGGCGCCCTCGACTTGAGAAATCCTGCCTGTACTGAAGCCAGAGGGAAGGGAACCCGTAGTGCTGCATATGTAAGTCCTTTAAGTCTTCTAGCCGTTGCTGTAGTTCTCGTCTGTGCGCGAGACTGGTGTTATAGGGTGTTGTAGGAATAGTAGGTGGAATGAGAAATACGGATCAGGTCTAAAATCACCATGAAAGAGCTAAAGAGGTACGCCGCACGCCTGTAGCAATATCTCTTTTCAGCGTTGGTCGAGTTCCTAGAACTGTCCCGATGACATCATGATGGCTCGAGAATTCGTCTCATTGCCAGCGCAGCCCGGGAGGTATTTTTCTGGACCTCTCCAGCTTCAGGCGAAGCGACGGCGCTAGGGAAGCCTTGTGCTGCTGTCTTGGAGTGCTCGGGTTTCTCAAGGTCTGGCTACGAACGTTTCGCGAATCTAGAACCTAGCAGCTGTCCATCCTCAACAAAGGGTTGCTGTTTTGAGCAAAGCCCGGTTCCACGTCATCATCCTGTTGCTCAAAGCGAGTCTGAGCCGCGACGGAGTAGGTGCTGCATCGCCGGACAGCTAACGTTCCAGTCAACCAAGCAAAGCTACACTATGGGATCGTGTCGTAGGCTCTTGCATCTTCAGACCTCGGCTTAGGTAGGGCAGACAAACTCTCTCATTCAAAGCAGAAAAACAGCACTCGCGCCCACCATCAAACTCTAAGCCTAAACCCTGAATCAAACCCGAAGCCCTGAAGCCTCTTCCTTTGCGGAGTCCGAGTTGTGAGAGGGGCTCTAAACTGCAGAACCCGAAACCCGAAGCAATGTTTCGTGATGTCCGAAAAGTAAGCAGACCCCACAGTGCCAGCTGCATATGCTCTAGAAGGCTTAGGCTCTGATCACAAGCCAAGCCTTAAGAAGGCCGAATCCCAAATCGCTAGAACCCTCAGACACTGTCAGGCACTTCGGACCACTCCTGGAAGCAAGCCAGGCTGGGATTTGGTTGGCGGTTGGATGTTGGAGGTGTTCTTGTACTAGCATCTATGGGTCCTATTTCGCGTTCTCGTTTTGCTTGTAGTCTATGTCTGCCGCCATTGTTTTCTCACTGGCATTGTTATGCAGCAGTTGCTACCGGTTCTAATTTGATTCTTTGGTGTCTGTGCTGTTGTCTTGCCAACCTTTGGTCGTTTGGAGTCTCATGCTTGGGGTTTGGGCTCAGGGTGTAAGCTAGGGCCTAGAGACTTGCGGGGTTTGATTGCCTCGAGCCGGAGAAGGTCCAGGATTGACAAAGGCACGGAGGTGGGGAGTGTCGCCACAGCTTCCCATCTTGGTGCCGTCCAACTGTGAGGGTCCAAACCCACACGCAATCAAGACATGCTGCCGGAGGCCTATGCCCAGCTCAGCGGCTGCCGCTTTCGGATTTCCTCTTTCCAGGCGGGACTGTGTGACTCATGACTTCCCGTGGTAGAGGTTATTGTTTAGCACTTTTGAGGGTGGATTTAAGGTTAACCATTTTGGAGACATCAACCATTAGCTCCCCTACCCCTTTGCACCGGAACCTTGAACATCATGAGGCCATTTAATGTAGCAGCATCATGATTCATGATGACATCAAGCATCGTGGAGACAATCTGGGAACTCTGAAGAGCTCTAGAGTCTAGTTGAATGTTGACTGGTAAACCTGTAAAGAAACTGATCACCACATTGCACCCACTCGTATGATCGATGAAGCGTCTGCTGGCTGCTGGGAACTGATCGCTAGCGGCGTTGCGCCGGATCGTTGGATTCGCAAGGCATGTCGCAGTCTGTGCACACACGACAGAGCAGTGCAGCCTGCATGGCCCCAAGGTCAGTGCCATTAAGCCGCATCAGATTTATCGAACAATCGCCGAACCACCAAAGCTCTTGGATCGTCAGGGGTCGGAAGCCAGCGGGCCGCCCATGGAGGTCTTGGCGTCTTGCGCTCTTTGTTTGCTTTCCCTTTCGTGCCGCCCTAGGTGTTTCAGACAACTACAGGAGCCTTATTCAGGCCTCCCTATGGTTGCTAAGAATCCCACTGTTCAGGGTCTAAAACTTACAAAAAAAACTTACACCTGTGGCCGGAAGTCCCAGATCACCTTGCGAACCTGGGCTCCATTAGGAGCTCTCCGGCGAGCGCCGCGAGCGCTTGGCCGCTCGGGAGTTGGCCGCGCCACAGGCTTCGAGTCCCGAAGCCCCGGATGGGAAGGCCCTTTCTGCTTTTCTGTTGCAGGTGGCAACTTTCGCAGAGCGGCTCCAGAATCGGGAGCCTTGCCTCTTGGAGGACGCACCGGGAGCTGAAACGACGATTCCTGTAAGAATTCCCTTCATGGTGGAACTTAACACAGGGTGCTCAGAGGATGGGTCATAGAGTGACACAGGCGCACATGTGGAGAGCTAGATCGATGTTTGATAGATAGAGAGTTTGTCCTTGCTCTTGTGTGATCTTATTTTTGTGGGTTGGTGTTGGGGCTGTTGCTTCTCGTCTCGTGTGAGAATGCAAGCCACGAGGCGTGGCAGAGCGTTGCCAGTCAACTTCAGGAACTCGAGCGCGCCTTCCGCATTGTCATGGTGGAAGGCCTGGCACACAGCGGCTCCCCTCTAACCCAACCCGATATCCTGGAAGTTTGTCCATCACCTGGATTGCTCTGATCATGACAGGCGTGCGCAATGCCATGATCGCTGCATTTCAGCACCTCGGCTCTTCGGATTTTCGGCCTGGCCTCGCTCGGCCATTGGTCGCCGTAGCGGAACAGCGCTTTGTGAGAGCAATGGACCATGCCATGCCCGCATGGAGTTTCTGTGTTCTGTGGATCGGCGGGGCTTCGAATGAAAAGGACCTTCGAGGGGCAGGAGGCACAATAAAGGTTGCTGCAGTGTCGACATTCACGGACTTTCGTCCGTGCTTTGCATTGAGGCGCCTGGATTTGTGGCCACCGCAGCCACCACCGCCAGGCATCACGCAGGGACGTGGGTGAGCTGGGAGGCTGATCTTTCGCGCCTTGCTCCCGAATTGCCTGCTGTGAAGCGGTTGCTGACACATGCTTGTTGGAAATCATGTGCTGTCAGCGCTGACGTCGTGGCGTGGTAGACGGGGAATGGCTTTGGCAGGCATTGAGGACGACGACTGCTGCTACGAGGAGGGGCAGTAGTTTGACTTCAATGTGTCGTGGTATCACAGGAGATGTGCCTCGCAAGATCCGAAATGCGGAGCTTCTGCCGAACGTGAAGACTTTCGGAACACTGCTGTCTCCGGCACGTGTGCCTCCGTTTTCACTCTTCGCAGGATGTCAACTCTCCCGTTCCTGTCATCGCGCAGCGGCTATACAACGATGATGTGCGGAGGCTGTGTGTTGCTTGCGAACAGGCATTTACCAACCGCGAACTGCGCATTGATGCAGGGCAGCGAACACCACTGCTATATGGCACTGGGTAAATTTATCTAGGAACGGCCTCCCCAGAAGCAGCGACCAAAGCATAGGATTTCTGCAGTGCAGATAGAACTAGGATAAGCCGTGTACCCGGCGCCTGAAACTGTTGGACCCTACAGGTTGCTCGCTGTGCCCTGCGATGGCGTGCAGTCTCCCTGGCTGCAGCGGGCGCTCACTGCGGCCTTCATCGTGGACTTTGCGACTGAGGTGAAAGCCCGGGAACGGAAGTCGTAGACGTAGACTCCCTGAGATGTAGATACAGCGGCTGGAAAGGTTGGCCTACCCTCGCCAGAGATGCCACCGACGCAGCAGGTGGGAGTCATGGGCTTCATGCTGAGAGCTGTGGTCCTTGGAGGCCGCTCCTTGGTAGGATCTGCCCCGACTTGGGCTCCGGCTGGTGAGCGACTGCTGTGAGTGCACAGGAGATGATCGAAGAGTTCAGCCTCCGCATCCAGGAGCTTCGGACTTTTCCAGGGATGAGGCATCCCGAGGTCAGCTGGAAATTCCAAGCTAGTGCAGCATACTCCCGAGCAGGTTCAGTAAGGGCGGTGCTGGCAAGACATGTTGCCATGCTGAGATGTCGTTTGAGCCAGTCCTTCAACAGGTTCATACGAGCGTCGGAATACTAACTTGTTCAGCCGCTGAAGGAGTATGAGTCTCAGCGTGCAGCTCCTTCAGCCACCGCCGGTGGCGCCGAGCCCGAGTGCCTCGGCGGTGGCGTGCTTTGTTCAGAGTTGACAGCACGGAGTGAGGTTTTTAGTGTATAGGGTTGTCGAAACTGAAGAGTTTCCGAGTCGTTCGATTTGCTATGCATGTCTTGGACGAAGCTGTGGTGAACATGCTGGCCTGCGAGGGCTGCACGATGTTCGTTTAGATTAGATCGATAAGCATATTTCAGGCACAAAACCCCGGAATCCGACGGCTTGTCCGAGCTGCGAAAGCATCATAACTCAGAGCCTGGAGTGATTGTGCCGCGAAGATTCAAAAGCCCAACCTCCCTTCAATCGTACATCCTTCAATTGTATTTTGTCGCTCTGATTCTTAATAGAGACGCCGAAATCAACCAAACAATAAATCAATCAATCTCTCTATCTGTCTGTCTATCTATCTATCCTTTAATTAGTCCATCCATCCATTGCTCTAGCTACCAGTCTACCTGTCTGCAAACCTACAAATCGGCATGAATACATTTGTACATACATACGTATGTACGCACATACATACATCGGTACATGCATAGGTGCAATTTCACGTGTCCTTTGATTCAGATTCTCTTGTTTGACTTCGTTTGTGTTTGTGACAATGGTTTTGGCGAGGCACCGGCTGCGCCCAGCCCTGGAGGCCTTTGAACGCGCGCTCGCTCCGCTGAAGGCTCCGACGGCTTTCGCGTTTGTGTCCAAACGTTCGGGTGTCGGTGTCGATCGTCTGTCGTAGATGTGTGCGCATTTGCAGTCATGGGCATGAGGGGATGGGTTCGGTGAGGGGTGACGGGGTGGCTTGCACGAACATGATTCGATCATGCACCTCTGTCTCTCTTTTTTTTTGTTTCTCTCTGTCTCTCTCTCACTCCCTCTCTTCCCTCTATCGCTTGCCTTTGCTTGCTTTGTTTTTTTCTTGCTCAGTTTCTAGCCTTGCTTTAGTCTGCTTGCAGGTTTGTGTCGCATGACCGTCGAATGTTAGATGCGTGTGCACACAGCTTAAGATTAAGCTGTCTACAGCAGATCGGGAGATCAAACGTGCTGCAAACAGGCGGAGTCTCAGCGTCTACGCGAACAGGGAGGTTGGAGTCATGCGAGGGCGGAGTGTTCAAAGTCTCAGAGTCTCAGGCCCTCCGATCACTTGGGGCTGTGGTAGTGTGTAGCTATGACGAGAGAACATGTGGTAACCGTCTAAGCGTTGCAGTGGTCGTGCAATGATCGAGCATCGAAAAAAGACCAACATCTAACACAAAGCTTTCAATCTGCCAGTATGCGCGAAGTCGAGGTTTGGTAGAGCCCCGGTAGAACCGATGTAGAACCTTCTTCAACTGAATCTGTTGGCATCTTGCCGAACGTCTTTTGAACTTGACCAGTCCGGATTTTGGTGTAGCCCCTCCTAGTATCTTGTAGATGTAGCTGTGAATCTCCCTACGAGAAGGAGGGGAAAGAAGTTGAAGTTTCTCTTGCTTGTGTAAGGCCTCGGTCCGAACACCTGAACATACCTTAGTACAGTGGTCCAATGCTGCCGAACACCGCTGACTGCTTACCTTCAGCATTTCAAGCAGCCGACTGAGCACGCAAACTGTCGCCGGTAGGGGTTCTTGTTTCTTTAGAGTCGGATTTGGGCTTGCCTTCGTGAGGTTCGGACCGAGTAACTTCTGCGAGCTACATGTGTTGCAAAAGTCAGAGGGAGCCCTGCGCCTCGGAAAGCAGGGCTTGACCACTCTGGGTTTGGGTAGCTTGAGATTGGCATTCCGCCTTACGCAGAGATCTTGCTGTCAGGGCGATTTGTGGCCGAGAACAAGGCAGTCTGGGCGGCTGTGGTGTCGAACGAAAGCCATCGTTTTGCCGTTTTGTCTGTCAAGAGCTCCCACGGGCTGAGTGCTAAAGATGTTTTGCATTCTCACTCTCGGAGATGACATGTGGCACCCGGATCCTGCGTACATGAGTCGGCTGTAGATTGTAGATAGGGTAATCGGACTTGGAAGTGGGAAGGCCTAACTCGTAGTCTGTTGCTTGCGCGTTGAGCTGCCCAGTGTTGCCGGAGTTTCAGACCTGTCGAAGTTTGAGAGGAAGAGCCCTCAAACACTGCAAGCCCGAAAATCCTAACACATACCAGTAAACCCCGGTGGAGCTGTCAGACGGCGATCGCCCTTGGCGCGGTGGGCGTTGTGGGCGGTGCAGTGGCGGCCGCGCTGGCAGGAGGAGACTCTGAGAAAGTCCCACTGACCTGCCAAGGCATGGCTTCAAGCCAAGGATTTTGTCAGTCGAGCATATGTAATAGTATGTAGTGTAAGGCTCTTCTTCGGAATTTCAGTGACAGCATCTAAGTGAGCATCATTCTTGAGGCCAAAATCTTACGTGGAGCGTTGCTTCCTACAGTTACAGGAACTCCCAGAGGCACAGGCGGTTCGGGCATGTTAGGGTTCAGGGATTACGGGTTAGTTGGTGTTTAGGGTCTCTCAGACAGGAGCCATCGTTGCCGGACGATTTGTTCACAGAGGCAACCAGGACAGCGCATTGCTTTTGCAAGTTGCAGATCGCGTTCTGCTAGGGACAGCAAGTACGTGAGCACAACTTCGCGTCTCACCATCTAGTCAAGTCGAGTGCGACCATCCTCTAGGGTTTGTCTCAGTCAGTGCGTGCGTGTGTATGCGTGTGATCAACTCATGTGCATGTATGGTTTCTCATGTCGTGGATATACTGATGCATACAGACATGCAGGCATAGTTGTGTATGCACAGACAGAGCATGGCACATGCCAAGATACGAGTTTTCTTATCCAGTGCCTGGAAAAATGTATGCAGTAGTTTTTGGAACATGGGGTTGATGGTTCGGGGCGCACCGGACGACCATGTACTGGCAAGCAAAGCTGCAGAGTCTGAACCCACAGACGAGAATTGTAAGAGTTGAAACACGACCCGGAGACCCATCCGCGCAGGAGCCCCCCAGAAGCGAAGAGACCGAGCAAGCTGAAGAGTGAGAAAAGGACCCCGCAGCGCTCGGGCATTCTCAGGGGCGGGTGGCATTTAGGCGGTTGTCGAGTCTGCTCCATGGGCTCAGTGCGGTAGGGCCAGGGTCTTCCTTCCGTAGCACTCCCCATGTCTACATGCCTACATGCATGCATACAGAGAGAGTCAAAGCTTATATAAGTAAAGAAGCGGCAAGACCTAATCACTTAGATTGACGCTACTTCGTTAGGGTCACAGACAAAGCGCCACCAGAAATCTTAGGCCCTCGGCCCTCGGCCTCTCTTCACTCAGGCCTGGAGCTCAAGAGCGACTCTGGGCGTTGGCTCGTCCCCGCCTGAGCCTCCGAAGCCTTTGGTGGATGCTTCGAAACGGCTCGCTGCTTCTTGCAGGCCTCAAGGGTGCATCGTTTAGGCTTGTCATCTGGGTAGCGCCGCTGTGGGCGCGGCGCGCTTTCGACTGCTCAGGATAAAACGGGCCTTTTGGAAGAAAGGTTGCAGTTGCAATCCCAGGTCGTTTTGCAGGCGTGAATCGTTCTCGCATGGGAAGGTGCATTGCGAGACCCGGTCGTTCTGTTCTGACTGCCAGCAGGCAGCTGCCCACAGCTTTTTTCATGTCCGGACAAAAAGGCATCCCTTGTCTGGGCCCTTCTTAAGCCTCTGCAATAACCTTAAATCCGATGGGCTTCCCTGTCTATCGTTCTATCGATCTGTCTATCTATCTATCGATCCATCGGTCCATATTATATCTGTATCAATATATCTATCTATACATATGTGTGTATATGTATGTACGGAATGTATGCATGTATGTCTGTATGTCTGTATTTATGTATGTATGTATGTATGTATGTATGTATGTATGTATGTATGTATGTATGTATGTATCTTGTCATGTCCGTGTTCGCGGTCGGTCCTGGCGCTTCAGGTCCGTCTCGATGCCTCGGCTGGAGAGTTTGCCTTCAAGGAGGCACTGCAGACACAGAGGACCGAGACAGAGAATCAATGAAGAATAGGAGCCGGAGAAAAGAAGAGGCGACCGAGAGCGAGAGAGCGAGAGAGAGAGAGGGAGAGAGAATCTGCTGCTTGGGCAGGGCAATCTCCAGCTTCTCTCTGCAGTGAGCCCAGCTGTCTTGGGTTCAGAAGAAGCAGATGATGGGTCCGCGAGGTCCCAACAAGGACCGGCAGCATGTGACTGAATAGATTAGCCAGTCCTGTTTGCCGAACAAAGGGAACCTAACGGTACATGAAGATCTTCAAGAATGATGACGGCACGTCTCTCATGAGGCTTGAGCCCATGAACCTCGGATCGGCGTGAATGCAGAGGAATCGCGCCTTCCGAAGTTTGGGAGCTGAAGAACTTGCTGCCACGCGAGCTAAGGCTTGCGCCGCCAGCCCCGAGGGTGTCTCGGTCCTCGAGGGCTTGGACACGCTGCTCTTACAGGCTCCCATATTTCATTGTTTTAGAATTGGTAGATTTTTGTCATACTACTATATTTCCGGTAAGAGCCCAATTGGCCGATGCCAGACAGGACGAGACATTGAGGATTCGTAACGGGCAGTCAACCAGAGGCTTTCGAAGTAGCGACGGAAGTTAGCCTGTAGCCTTTGGCATGTCACGGGATCTCGAAGGAAGAGGGAGTGCTTCAAAACGGGTTGAAGCTCCATGTTGCCGAGCCAGCGCAGCCATTTCACGGCCGTCTCAGCTGTCATCTCATCCTCCATAGCATCAGAGTCTGCAGATCAATCTGGAGGGCTGAGGTCGCTGCCCCACGCCACTTAGCAGTTAGCTTCTTGTCCACATGGACCGCGAGCGGACGATCGACCGAGCAAGGCCTCACAGGGCTTGGGAAACTCGAGTCGGCCGCGCCGAATGCCAATAAACTTCTTCTCTTGGTCCAGCTCAAGCTGGAAGCACTGAATGTGACTGAATGCTCTGATCGTGCCGTGAAGCGGAACCTGTTCAACGACTGGAGGAGTCGAAACTCCAGGTACAGAACATCAGAGGGGTCAGAAAGCGGTGCTTCAACGTGCTCCGGCAGCCCATAAGAGAAGTCCCAGGCACTGCGGGCTTGCCATGACCACAAGAGTAGTAGATGTGCAGGACGCCGAGCTGTCAAGCCAAGCCTGACGCTGAGAGACTTGGGTCTGGGGCGAGGTGCGCGGAGTCGGAGAATTCTGAGAGACTCCTCGTCTGAGGCGACCTGCGAGCCCCAAGGCGACTCGCGAAGCTGGGCACAAGAGATGAGAGGTTTGTTATGGTAAAGATAGCACGAGGGGTTCAGGGAGCATTACATACTCATGAGCCAGTAGTACCCAGCAACAGTAGTAGTCGCAGTAGTAGTAGTAGTAGTAGTAGTAGTAGTCGTCGTCGTCGTGGTGGTGGTGGTGGTGGCGGTGGTGGTGGTAGTAGTAGTAGTAGCAGCAGTAGTAGCAACAGCTGCAGCCGTCGTGGTAGTGGTGGTGGTAGTGGTGGTAGTAGTAGTAGTAGTAGCAGTAGTCGTAGCAGCTGCAGGAGCAGCAGCAGTCGTCGTCGTCGTCGCCTATTGAAAGCAAGCCGCCGGTGCTTTCGCAACTATCAGAAACATCCAGCTTCACAAGAGCTTCAGTATTAGCATGGGCAGAACTAGCGTCGCTGGCTAACAAGCACTGTAGTTTCTACATTAGTACAGTCGCCATTATCATCTTGATCTTGTCACTTCGGCTGTAGCCCGTATTTTTCAGAAGACGGCAGCTCCCCAGTCCCGTGTCAATACTAACCCGTTTAGGCTGTTTGTTGACTACAAACATGTACAATCTACATCACGTAGTGACACAATGTACCACATGGCCTCTGCGGTGTTCCGGTGTGGGAGCAGCAGGGCAAGCTCACTGAGCCCTTACTTCTCAGAAACACCTGAAGTCCACAGTAGTCGGGAGCCGCGCCTCAACTATCCCGAGGTCCTGCACCTTTTATAGCTTGTAAATGCTAAGACCCTAAATCTCAAGCCCATCTCACTAGTAAAAGGTTCAGAACTCAAAGGCCCAGACTCGTTCGAGCAGCCTTCGGCCCAGAAGCTGCCACGCTCCGCTGTTTCCGCCCTCCGCCTCACGCCATGGCCTTTGCCCCCGCGACCCGCAGAGCCCGCCCCGCCCTGGCCCTCATGATGGCCGGAGTGCGGGTGCATTCTAAACGCATTTTGTCGAAGATGTCAAGTTTCGAGACGGGGTTCGCTGCTTAAGCGTTGCATGTATCGGGAGTTGCCAGAAGTTCCTGACGTTTTACCCTGGAAGAAATCCTGAAATAGAGCTCTTCAAGTCCCAATCCCTCAAGCCTAAAATAAATACTAAAGCGTCGAAAGCTCGGCCCAATGCAGGCCCTTGCAGGGCTTTATGCCCTCTTCTGCAGGACTGCGGGGCACATGATGTTAGATGGGAGTGTTTTTCCTCTAGGGTAATTACTCTTTGATTCGTATAACGGATGTTGCGGGATCCATACGCATCAGGGCAAGTGTTCAGCTGCCGGGGTTGCACGGTTCTGTTCGGGCCTTCGCTCGGAACTTATTTTAGATTTCATTCTGGAGATCCGGGTACGTGGTCCTGAGGCTACATAAACTTATCTGCGATGATCGGTGCGGTGCATGCTGCGCACTCAATTATCAGGGCCCCTAAACCCTAAACCCTAAACCTTCAATTGGAAGTAGGAGGCAAAAATACCTTTAATTGGAAGTCGCTGCATGGCCTCAAAAAGGAGCTCGGCCTTCGTCTCCGGTACCCCCTCGCTGCGCAGCCCAGGGCGCTCAGTGGCGGCGGCTGGGGCGCTTGATTCTGTGGAGTCTGAACAGTAATCTTGAAGGTCAATTTCACAACAACTTGGTGCTAAATCAGGGTTTTTTCATTGCTGAGATCCAGGGTCTTGTGATTTCGGGTTTGTAAGCGAACAAGAAGAACAGGAGGCTGCAGCACTAAAGGCTACCAGAGGGCAGCAAGAGTGGCGAGCAAAAGCGAGCATGCAAGTGCAAGTCTGCCAAACTTGCCAGAAGGATGCTCTGTCAACGTTGGTATGGCCACACCACTAGACAAATAGCCTTGGACATGAGGACATGGGTTTCGCCTTCGCGGACAAGCTGCCGGTTTGGAAAATAGGATACATGGCCACTTATTGCACTTAGGTGTCCCGAGAGTCGAAGGTGGACGACATTGTGGAGGCCTGGTTAGTTGAACTGCTAGACCCAAGAAAGCGGGCAGGCAGGGCAAGCTGCCTGTGTTTCTTGTTCCCCAAGTCGCATACCGGCCTGCCGCCCATGCGCAAGTTCGGGAGGATTCAAGCACGGTCACACTTTTCTTCAGGGTCCTGACCTCATCATCGCAGGCCCGATGCGCAAATCGGCGCCAGTTTCCATGAAGTCAGAACTTGAAGCCCTAGGAATTGTCGTCATCATGCTCAATCATCGAAGTTTCACCCAAAAAAACATTCGCAAGACTCATTGGCCAATTGACGAAGTCAAGCTAACGAGGTATGACAACATAGGCCCAAACAGCAGAAATGAGAAAGCATGTTTTTGTTAGCTCGATGTTTGCCTCTTGCAAGGAGCTCAAGGGCTTGACATTGCTAGAGGCCTCGGAGCTTGTCAAGGCCTGGGCCCGGATGGGATTTTGAAAGCAGCTGTCAGTCTGAAACCTGGGCCTGGCACAATCTGTCATGCTAGTCATTTCAGCATCTTACCTTGTTGCGCGAATTAGGTTCAGCTGTCGACGAAGCGGTGCCCTCTCAATTAGGCAAGTCTTTCTCCTGAAAGCTGGCAGCCTGAGGCTATTGAGGAAACCTTCGGAGTGGATGCCTCCGCATCCGCGGGTGCAGTTGTGATGGCTGCCCCAGGCGGTGGCGGCGGCGAGGCAGGGGTTGCATCCTGTTGAGTCGAGTTTGGAATTGAAGTGTATGTTTTTCCTGTCGCCCATGCAGGCATACTCTGTCCGCTTGGCTCACATGGACATTTTGGTAGGGCAGTATTTCCTAATGCAATTCTCTTTGCTGCTATGGCTTGGACTTACAACGCCGATAGAACCCTCGTATATCCCTAGCAATAACAGCCCTGGTCGTACTCCAACATTGATCTTCATAATAATCCGGGCACCTAGATTGCCATGCAATGCTGTTAAGTCCCAGAACCAAAACTCCACAACCTTAAAGTCTACAGCCATAGTACTGCGAACTTCACAGAGCGCCCAGTGCAGGCTGAGGCTGCCGCAGAGGAGAAGACGGAGTTCGACCTCATCCTCAAGGCACGCTCTTGCGATTATTGTGCTCTCTTTCAAAGACATGAATGCCATCTATCTGCTTATACTTGTATGTATCTGCCTATCTGCTTATCTATGTCCCTAGTCTAACCGGTCCCAATGTAGTTATTCTAATGTACTTTAACATAGCCTCTACGAGCTATCGATCCGTCGATGCGTGGATCCATCTCTCTATCTATCTGTCTGGCTATCTATCTATTTATTTATCTACCTGTCTGGCTAATTTATCTATCTATTTATCTGTCTGTCTATCTATCTATTTATCTATCTTTCTATCTTCGTGTCTACCTATTTATCTACCTATCTATGCACCTATCTAGCTGCCTATCTATCTTCTTTCGTATTTGCTATCGAAATGAATTTATCTATATCTATCTATCACACATGCACACGTACATACATACATACACACATGCATACATGCATACATGCGAACATACACAAACAGGGTACCCTACGCTTTTATATATAGATATGTTCATCCATATCTGTGTGCGTGTATCCTTCCGTCTCATTTCGTTCTTTTTCTGTGTCTCTGCCGCTCCGTATTGCTTTCGACTTAGGTGCGCAGGTTTGCTAGGAATTTCGGTCTGGAAAAGCTCCACAATCTGCGACGGCCATTTTGCCGCAGGAAGTGCCCAAGGAGAAGAAGATTGCAGCCGCTTGGGTTCTATGGGGTGGTTGAAATCCCGAGCCTTGCAAATCCCGATCTAGTCCACTTCACAACCACCGACCCACAAATTTCAGCAGTCAGTGTACGAAGTATCAAAAGTCACAAACGCACCCACTGCCTGCTATTTCATGCCCATAAAACTCCAGAAGGGATTCTGGCAAATGGGCCTGACTTCAGCGAAAGCTGTGGCACATCTTGAACAATTGTGAGCCCGACAGCAAACATGCCAAACTCTATGTAGACATAGACCTAGCTTGAAGCATACAACATTACAGAAGCCCACCTCCTACACCATGCTACAGCATGCAGGAAACGTGAATCCCACAACTCATACGGACTTGTAGCCGTTGTAGCCCCTGGTCCTCTCGGGAGGGGTGAACTGTGTAAATTCGGATGCAATAGTAGAGCTGAAATCACAGAGGCTGAGCTCGAAGCGCAGAAAAAATCACGCACCACGCGACCCATGGGACCACCAAGCCCTGAAAAAGGTCCCTGAGCCCAAGCACCCCTAGAAGAACACCCTGGGCTTGTAAGAGCCCTGCAAAGGTCATCAAGGCAGTGCGGGCCATCACTGGTCTCGGTTTGAAGGAGAAGCTTTGGGGCCTCTGTGTTACATTGAACCACGGAATCATTGAATCAGCGTTGTGGGCGAATTCGTGGGGAAGCAGGGTGAAGAGGTTTTGACTTTAGCTGTCGAGGGCTCGGGATGCAGCATGTAGGTTGTCAGTTTGGAATAGCTGAGAACAGCAATGATGAGGACCTCGGCTGTGAGGTCAGAGTCCTGCTGGGTTGAGACACCTGTTTTTTTGATCATTTCTACGGTGACCTCCCGAGAGTGCGACATTCAAGCTCCTCACCCTAGCAGATGTGCACATGACAAAGCCCTCGACTCAAGCCTCAGTCCTTGGTAAAGCAGGGAAACCCTTTAGCCGAGCAAGATCATGTGCACCCCCACAAAGGTGTGCAACAACAAACCCTACAGAATTCCAAAAGAGACAGTCTCAAGCCAGAAAGGCCTCCAGTAAAAAAAGCCTGAACTCGCGGACACTAGAAAAATCATGGCTGAAGTGCGCGAGACCGGAATCCTTGCGCTGAAGCTCCTGAATTCAAAACCCTGGCGCAAAAAGACGTCAGTTCAAGGCCGAAACCCGAAGCCCTAAAGCCACCAGATACAAGGTGACCGCCAGTGCCGTTTGCTATCGCCCCAAGACCATGAGACCTCGTCTGACAAGTCCGAGTTGTGAGAGCAGAAAGGCAAGAACCCTAAATCCCGACTTAGACAGCCTCGCCTGCATCCTTCGAGTCGCGGGAGTTTAAATTCCTTCTAAAGGAGGCCAAGGGCTTGGCAGACAACCCGGGCAAGATCCTTGAGGCCAAGCCGAAGGACGGCGCGGGCTGGTTCTGCGGGATTCCGAGCAGAAGGGTCGGAGTGTTTCGGGTTTTTGGAAAGAGACTAAAGGGGCCCTGAACCCTGGCTCGGACCAAGATCCATGGAGCACTGCAACAAAACCACCAGGAGGCGTGCGAGGATGCCTTGAAGCAGCTCGAGGCCTCGTGTTGCAGGGACTCGGAGGTTACGGGTTGCACGGTCTAGGAGTCCAGGAGTCAGGCTTCTAGGGCCTCTTCACAGGCGCTCGGCTCTTTGAGTGTGTCGGAATTGAGATCTTGCGACCTCTAAGCTTCGAAGGTTTGGGGTTGACTTTGAGGGGCGTGGAGATTTCTCGTCAGGGTGGAACTCGAGTGAACTGTATGGCTTTTTTCTAGTATCACTGAAGCCGACCATGCCGATCGCTGACGGCGAGCTTGCCGGAACGTTTTCAATTTTCGTCGTCCCGACATTTTGTTTTGGAGGTGTCCTAGGTCCGAGCACTTTTTCTTAACAAAGCGGCTGCCATGTTCCGACAACAATGGCACAGATTAAGTCATTGCCGCGATGATGGCAAAACCCAAGAGTTGTCAAGCCCAAGTTCAGCCATCCTGACCTGTCACTCAGCCTGTCTTCCGAGGAGGCAGGGGCCAAGGCAGCCATCGAGTAAGCGGCAGATTCTTCTTGTGCTCACGGCGATGAAAAGGGCGCACCCGATCAGATGGACATCGATGGTCCTTGCTCTTCAAAAGGTTTCGGCCGCAACCCTTACTCGTAAGTCGCCACACCCTACGCTTTAAACCCTGGACCTTGCATAACTGTCCGAGTGTGAGTATTACTGGACACCGAGCAGACCCGAACCCAGAAGGTTGGCCAGGCAGCAGGTTTACTACACAGTGAGGATGTGCTTTAGCTCTCCGCGTTTTCTGGCTCTTCCTGCCCATCTCTCCCTGGACCTTGGGCCGCAAAGCTGTAAGCTCCGTCTCTTAGGGCGCCCAAAGTCGGGGAGGGAGGAACCTACCTACTTACCTGCGTACGTGCGTATGACGTGCGTACGTCGTACGTATACATGTCCAAGTATGCATACGGCATGTTTCAACATGCCTGTACAGTTCATGTATACCTATATATAGATGCATCTATGTTCATATTTATATCATCTATACCTTCTACATCCAGATCTTGAATTTTTATACTTATATCTATATCCAAACCTATAACTAGAACTAGATCTTTGTCTTCATCTAGATCTAGATCGAGATCCAGCTCGAGATCTAGATCTATTTCTGGGTCTGTATCTACATCCACATACCCATATCTTTTCATGTTCGCTATAGTCTGTTTAAGAGTTTTCAGGTTTCAAACCAAGCCGAGCCAAGTCGTTTCAAAATCAGAACTCCTAAGTACTGCTAGGGCTGCCAGGGAGATTCGGGTATGCGAGGAGGAGTGCGGCCGTGAGGTGACATGCCTTTGCCTCGCTTGACCGCTGCAACGTTGTTCCGTCCGATGCGAAGTGCTTTGGTTGTTTGCCCCCTTAGTCTCCTTGTGAATCCCAAAGCCAGACCTTCCACGCCAGCCACCTCCCTACGGAAGTTGATTGGATGTCGCATCCCTGCATGTTCCACACATAGGTTCTGCTGCGCTTAACCCCAAGCTCACAAATTAAATCCCACTTGAACGCAAATCCTACACTCCTTGACCTCCATGCTCGAACCCCTCACACCCCTCAGCCGCAAGCCATAACTCCACCTCACGTCGGCCGCCGCCATGAGCGCCTCGCCTCGGCTTCGCTCAGTTTCGCCGGTCTTGGATGTCGCGTCGAAGAGGTATCCAGACCTCAACGGATTCAAGAGGATGCGTAAGTGCGTGTATATCCATTCCAGACGACCTGCCTATATCTCTATCCTTGTATATAAGTATCTTGTATCCATTGCTCGATTGCGCGACATGTTGTGATGAGCCCGACCTGCCTGCGGCCACATCGAACCGGACCAATCTCGCCTGCTTTTGCCTGAGTTGCGAGCGTCCAAAACCCCAAGACGGCAAGCTAAGTCTCCCCGGAAGCGTAAAGCCCCAAAGCAGTGGGAACTAAGCAGTTGCGTGTTTCTTTCTGGCCGAGGCTCTTCTCAGCCTCGGCGGACGACCGGCGCCCCGGCAATGAGGGTCTTAGGTTCTAGGATGTGTTGGGCTGACTAGGGACTAGGGTTTATGTAGGGTTTGAGTTTTGCGGCGGGTTGGTTTTTGTTTGTACCAGTGTCTTGTCCATGCTGATCTGCCAGATGCGGACATACAGTATGACCGGGCCAGGTGCTCGGTGCAGCCTGGTCAGTGGCAACTAGCCGCTAACTAGCCGTAGAATTCTGCGTCGCCTGCACATCGCCCGATCGAACCTGCCAACTGCCAACCTTACCCTTCACACCAAGCTGTGAGGGTCGAAGCCCGAGCTCACGGGCAGAGAAAAGCTTTCCGAACTCTATCATCGAATCAGGCTGAGTCCGAGTGCTAGAGCGTGCTCCGCAGTTGCGAAGGTGCCTGCGGAATCTGACCCTCAAGAACGACAAGGCCGAAGACGACCCGAGGGCCCGAGCAGTGGTGTCTGGACGTTGGGGCGACGGGGTTTAGGGGCGCGACGCGGCTTCGGTGTCATGACTGGGATTCGGAGTCTTTCGCAAAGCTTTGTGTTATCGGGGTAGGGACTGCAGAGTACTCGTGGCAATTCGGAGTTTAGACGACAGCCTTCTTCGGCAACCCTTTGCAGGACCGCGCGCGACGTCCATGCGTCATGTCGCTCCCGCCTAATCACCAATAATGACCATCGTAAAGTAGCAATCTTTTACAGCAACGTCTGATTGGGAGACGATTCTGTTCATGTGTAACTTGACGGACTCAGGTTCAGTCGCGCTTTGCATCCCACAGGCTGGCATTGATTTAGGATTCTTGAGGTGTTCTTGCTGTGTTGATCCAAGTTAGGGTTCTCGTCAAGTGTCTTGAGTCAGAGTCTAAGGAGTGCCTTGGGCTTCGGGTGCTGCTAGCTGAAGCAGGAATTGATCACCCTGATCATCCCTGATCCAGTTCGGTGGGAATTTGGATAGTGTAGTGTTGACCAGGATTCTGACGATTCTCCCTGCCTTCTGTTGCTGCTGCTGCTGCTGCTGCCAGCGCTCCCACTTGCACAGGTCTCCGTCTGCTACGACTGCGACAACTGCTAGCACAGACAACGGTTACTGACAACAGAAAGCTACTGTTCTTCGACTCCTGTTGATCGACACTATGAGCGCCAGAAGAAGGTCCTGCACGTTTCTTATGATCGCATATTGGTGCCTGTGATTTCGAACATGGACAAGGCCATGAAAGCATCCTTCATCGCTTGTCGCAGTTGCAGCCCAACCAGGAAAGTCCGAAGTCTGTTCTGCCAAGCTCCTTGGAGGCTCTCGCAGTGCAGGGGCAAGTTGGCGACGGTGGCTGGACATCTAACGGCGGCCTCCAAGGCCCAAGAAATGTGCAAAACAAACGGTTTCCGGAATTGATTCCAAGATTTTCAGAGGTGAAAAAGAGGGTTCTCTAGGCCTTCTGAATTTCAGGAGTGCCCTTGCAGTTTTAGTGAAGCTGCCATATGATTACTGATACTAGCGCCAATAGCAAGACGATGAACCCGAAGCGCTTCTGCATGAAGAATGTGCTATTTCGACGACATGAAGCATACATAGCATGAAGGACCTCTGCCATCTGTTCATCTTGCAGGATGTCAGAGCTCTCTCACGTTCTGCCAAGAATCACAGGTAGGACCACAGGGACCGCAGTGGGACTGCAGGCTGCAGGAGCCATGAAAACCTGCGTAGGGCTGCAGGGTTTGCGGACATCTGCAGACTCGAAACTGAAGCCCTTGGAAAATAGAATAAAGCACTCGTACTATCTCGTACTGTTACTTGGCAATGCAGTATGTTCGTACTGGGCAATGCAGTATGATCAAGATGGACCCCTAACTTTAGCTATTCATCCCAGCATCGAACATAACATTTCGTGGGGAAGGCGCTGGACCTTCCATTGTTATGCCGAAGCCCATTTTCAGAAACACTTCGCAAAGATCTTGTGGTTCAGAACCACCCGCCGCATCTGCTCAAAAGCCTTTCACGCACTCTTACCGGTCCCTGGCCTTCCCTGGGTCGGTCCGGTATGAGTGTCAGGGAAATCGCCCATTTTTGAGGGATTTTCGATAGCATCCCTTTCCAGTGCCTGCGTCTGAATTTTAATGTAGTTTTTTTTGCCAAAAACATTGCAAGGATAAATGAGTAAAACAGTAAACCCTACATAGGCTTGGCTCCTATAGCATGTTCGTACCCCTGTCAGTGCCCAACTACCAGGTGGGCACTCCCTGCCGCGTGGAGGTCGCCAGGCCTTTGCTGTGCTGTTTCGTGCAATGGAGAAGATGGTATCACCAACCGCAGCAGGAGCAAGAATGGCAGCACGAGTAACACTTCCAATGGAAATGATCAGAACAGCAGCCAAGCAAGAACACCGACGAGGACCAGCACGAACGATGCAATGTGCCTTGGTAGCGTAGCTCACATGTAGTGGGCATTCAGGCTTCCTGAGCCACCGAGCTTGCTCTATACTATAACTCAACCAGAACCTGGGGCCGTTGCTCCAGTGAGCCGAGCTCTGCTCACAGCCTGCATGAAGTCTTAACCCCAACCCCTAAACGCACCGAAACCCTTCCCAGATGCAGGCTTCTCCAAGAGTTGGCGTGGCTGCTGGCGGATTACGTCTCGCTGCCCAGCCCCCGGAGCCCGCGGAGCCCGCGGAGCCCGCGGAGCCCCCGCAGTGCCAGGCGCGATGGCTCGTTTCGGGATGTGGCAGGGTCAGTGTAGCTGGCGAAGGCACATCAAAACCCATGAACTTGCGTATTTGTGCAGGTCTAGAGATGCTTGGGGCTTGTGTGCTGTCGAGACAAGTTGGGAGTCAGTGCTGAAGGGTCAGCACCTTCAAGTCGCAAGGGAGCTGTTAGGAGCGGGAGTATAGCTGCGACACTGTGCACACTGTCCAATCTGACAGCACAGGATCAAGTTTCAATAGGGGGCGTGGCCGTGCAGCCTAGCAACTGAGCTGGCGATGGCGACTTCCGATGTTTTCGATGGACAGTGGCAGGGCCCTGAGGTGCACATCGATGTGCCTGGTAGCCCGACGGATCCGAAGGACTCGACTCCAAGAAGTCATCAGAAGCTTGTTTGGTTTTCATTGGTTGCTGGTGGCATGGCTGCCTTGATGAGCTTGGTGATCGCCGGGTTCATGGGTGGCCTTGCGGAAGCAGAACCAAATCCTTCTGTGGCACGACGCTTGGGTGTTCAAAGCAACCCTTTCCAGGACAAGGCGTTCTATGTGAACCCCTCGTACCAGGTCTCACTGACCAGCAGCATCCAGACGGCAGAGGGTTCAGTCAAAGAGACGCTGGAGGCCATGATGGACTTGCCTTCCGCCTACTGGCTGGACAAGAGGGACAAGATCCACGGGACTTCCACGAACAGCATGGAGGGCATCCTCGAAGATGCAGCAAGCAAGCCTGTTCCAGAGCTCGTTGTGTTCATCGTGTATGACCTTCCAAACCGCGACTGCCATGCCAAGGCTTCCAATGGTGAGCTGTGCTGCAGCTACAAGGACGACGGACGCTGTGATTACTTGGCAGTTGGGGATGGTAGCTGCAAAGACGGCTTGAAGCAGTACAAGGAGGAGTACATCGACGAGATTGCCTCCGTGCTTCGTAAGTTTTCTGGACGTGTTCCAGTGGTGCTTGTCATCGAGCCGGATTCGTTACCCAATCTGTCAACCAACCTGCAGGACCCGCGGTGTGGGAATGCTGCAACCAAGAGTGCGTACAAGCGTGGTGTCAGCTATGCTGTGAAAGCATTGGCTGAAGCCGACCCACATGCTGCCATCTACCTGGATGCAGGTCATGGTGGCTGGCTGGGCTGGAGGGACAACATGAAGGACTTCGTCCAGACCATCAGGGGCCTGGGTGTTTCCGATCACATTCGCGGCTTTGCCAGCAACGTGGCCGGCTACCAGTACGTGGGTGAGGTCTGTCCAGAGTATGACTGGTGTCTCAACAACGCTCATCCGGACGACTCCTGCTGCAACGACCCTTGTGGATTGACCAGCGAGTGGAATCCGTCGCACAACGAGCTGCAGTATGCCTTGCACCTCCGGAAGGCTATGTCGGAGGGCATCCGTGGTTTCGAGCCTCACATGATCATTGACACAGGTCGCAATGGTGTTGCGGGCATGCGCTCGGATTGCGCAAATTGGTGTAACATCAGGGGTGCAGGTGTTGGCCTTGCAGCCACGACCAACACCGCAAAGCCATCGGTTGTTGATGCCTACTTCTGGCTGAAGACACCCGGTGAATCGGATGGCTGCTCTCAGACACTACCGGACGGATCTACTTGCCCGCGGTTTGATGAGGATTGCGCTTCCGTAGACAGCATCAGCTTTCGCCCGGACGAACCTCGTGCACCTGAGGCAGGCCAGTGGTTCGACTACCAAATCAAGCAGCTGGCCGCGAATGCCAAGCTGTATGAGTGAAGCTCTTTCTCTCGAGTTGTATGTGGTCGATCCATCTACAGTACAGGATAGAGAATGAGAAGGGACAAAAGGCAGGGCAGTCACAGCCAGCTTGTGGACCGTGACGGCCTTGCATAGTTCAGCAGGTTTGAATTCGCTGCTTTTTTGAGTCTCAACTCAGGTAGACTCCGCAGAGAGCTCGCGAGCTCTTTGCGTTGCAATCTTGCATGCAGCGAACAGGGATAGTCTCTGGTACTCCCTGTTATAGGGAAGCCAAATTTGGCAGCTGCACAACCTCTACGATTTCATTGTGACATCTTACACGCTGCAGCTCAACAGAGGAGTGCCTGCCATCTTTGGCCGCCAGCTTGAACGCTGACGAAAGACAGTAAAAGAATCTCGCGAATCTGCGCATGCTCACACTTGGTTTCCTGTTCACTTCGTCAGCTCACGAAGCCTTTCCTCCGGCAATATCCGGCAACAAGGCAGTTCCTAGCACCAGCACCCGGCAAAATCCATTTTCAACAGGCCAGGACGCAATCGGCGTTCAGTTGGCTTGCTTGTAAAGAGGGTATGACCTGGGCTTTTGTCTCTGCGGGGAAGGTCATCTCGATGAGGAACAAAAGTTTCCTTGTCCTCGAGTGCCCTCCGCCATTCATGCGACAGCTCGTTGGTTCAAAAATCGCAAGTGTTCGGAATCAGAGCTGCATTCGGGAACATGCACCTCGCAGCCTCGCGTCGTGTTGTTGGAGCAGAGCTGTCAAGTACGCACGCTGTCAGGACCCCGAGCCCGCGCCTTGCGCGGAGCCCTGCGCGGAGCCCCACGCTCTCACTGACTCCCCGGAGGAGGGCTGCAGGGCTTCTTGAAGGGTGTTTAGCGGGTGTTTGGTGCTTAAGCAAAGGGGGTGATAACTGCGCCTACTTTTGCCGAGGGGGTGCGGAGGGGGGGGGGGGTACTGACATCCGGTTGTGCAGATGGTTGCACGTGGTAATCTTCACGATGGTGGCTGTGATGGTACCATGCTCCTTGAATCTGGTAGTTTGGATGGTGATGGTTGCGCACTTTCACTACATTCGATGGTCCTGTTTCGCGTGGCAGGCGCGGTAATTTCGGCATGTTAACCGATCCTACTTTCAGTCTGCAACTTCCCGCCACAGAGCCTTGCAAGGCCGCAAGTGCGACTGGCGTGTCCAAAACTTGAGTCAAAGCATGCCGTCAACAAATCCAAGCGGAACCCTGATTCGTGTGGCAGGCTTGGTGCTTTCGTCATAAACTTCTGTTTCGAAGGGTCCAACAATTCCCCCGGTGGGGGTGTTTAAGGAACTTAGTTTACATCACCACCATGAGAAACCCGCAGCCACGTTTGCCACCGTTACAAGTATAATATCCCTGCCAAAACAGTAAATTGGAGTTCCTGAACAAGAATGCGAAGTGCGGGTTTGGAGAGGGGTTGAATTGCGAGATATGCGGTCCCTGAGCCCGAAGCCTAAAAGTTTTATTGCGTGACTGTTCCAGGAGGCTTTAAACCAGGGCTGTGTGAGAAACCATAGACCATAGCGGGGGGAGCCGGAACTCATCGGAACTCACCTGCCTGTTGCAACGCGATTGTTGGTGGGCCTTGCGGGGGCACTTGCATCGGTTGGGTTTTGATGCGTTCGAAGTGTGAAGCCTTTCCTCAAGAGTCTACGAGAGTCCCGCGAGTATTCCCGCATGACATTCCTACGATGTAGAGCCTGACTGATGTGCGCAAGGCGAGGAGCTGCGCGACCCCAGCGATCGTAGCTCGGATTGCAACCAATAACGAAAAAACAGCCAAGCCAGGTTCCTCGTGTGAAGATGATAAGATGGAACACGCCTTGTATTGTCTCGAATTCTCTGTGCTGTTGTTCTAAGCGCCAGCTGCAGCTGGGCCAGGGTTCATGACCAGGCGTTTGCGGAGAACGGCTAGCCGGTAGTTTAGGGCCTGTTTAGCGCATGTCAGAAACTCGACCACATTACGACCGACCCCTTTTAGTGCGTGCTCAGAGGCATAGGGCATAAAGTCACAGAGCATGCAGGAGTGCATGTGTGCGAGACGCAGGGAAAAGCGCCAACAGTCGGCCAACAGTCGCTATCCAACTCCTTTCTGAGGCTGAGCCCACGTGCTGAGCCCTACGCACCTCGCGCTGAAAGTCCGGAGGGTATGCTTGAAAGCCCAAACCTCAAAACCCGGGTGTTCAAAAGCAACACCAGGTAGTTTGATTCTTGAGTCCTGCTGTGCATGTCCTACCTGCTTTCCCGACGGCGAGTCTGAGAGCGTACAACTAGAGTTGATTCTTTGCTGTGTTTCCTCCGTTTTTTCCGTGATCCGAGACCCCTTTGTACTATCTAGTTGTCCTTGCAGTGCAGAACAGCCGAGTAGGCGGGTGGCAAAACACTCGACACTTTAGGTTATTGCCAGCTGACTCCGCACCGTCATATCATATTATATATCCCCGGTACTCTTTCAGCTCTTCATTCCGAGCTCGAGGGAGCAGTTCCTTTCATCTCAGGTTGCCCCTCCCTCCCTGGAGGTGCGGTTGGTGAGGCCGGGAGGTGCTCTTCTGAGCATCACCAGCCTTAGTATGGCTAATCTGTACGTTTCTTGTTGGTGCTAGCATGGCTATCATCATTAGCCGCCTGGTAGTATTCTTATCGCTGTAAATGCATTTGTTGATGAACTTGCTTATCACGACTAGTTGCGGCGTAAATGAAGGTCAAGGCTCTCCGAAGATGCAGCTCTGAGCGTGCGAGGGCCTTTTTGAACGAAAGGGTTAAGCAGAAGAATAGCAACAGCAATGACCATACGGAGTGTAGAATCAGGTGTATTCAAAACAATAATGGTCATAACCATCACCAATGAACAATAACTAGCCGAATGAGTCATTAGACGAAATGACCCTGAACCATTAGAATGACCCACAAAATCTCTCCGGTTCTGCTGGCGAGGCAGGCACGTGAGCTTGTGATCCAAGTACTGCGTCACAACGGCCGGTTCCCGGACGAACCGTGGACATCAGAGCCGCTCGCCGTAATGCGGGAGCTTTCTAGCAGCGCTCATTTGTGTCCACTGAGCACACTTTCTTCGTGCTTGGACTGTTTTCTTGAATTTCAGCAGGCGTTGCAGGCAGCGTCCCAGCGTCCCATCGTTTAATTTTTTTACGTAAGTTTGGCAGTGCTCGACTTGAGCGGCTATCTTTGCCACTTTCAGCTGTGTTTGTTGAGCGGAAAAACCCGAGGCTGCGAAGCGCTGCGGGACAGCTGGGAGTCAGCCCTGGCAGTGAAGCCAGCGTCGTGGGTCTTGCGAGGTGCCTCGAGAGTCGTTTGCGGGTGCTCGTATCCGAACCGGTTGGACGAGGCCTAGACTTGTCCAGGGTTGCGTTGATGCTGCTCGATGCCAGGCGGAACCGCGATGGGCGTTGCGTCAACTGCGCCTCGGCTCGAATTATGTGCACGAGGAAGCTCTCACCTGCAGAAAAAACAAGTGGACACACATACACACACACACCACGCACCCGTTCTCTGCTTCGGAGTTCAGTCTCTTAGCGCTTTCATGCGGGTTTAACGCACAACAGGCAGCAGCGTGCTTGCATGTGCTTGCACGAGCAATGCCAACGTGACTATGCCTTCAGCGCACCAGGCCCGCATGCTGAGCATGGCTGCCAGATGCAGGGGTCCTTGGCCTACATGGAGGCCTCCCTGCAACTCCGTGTGCTATCGTGGTCTGATGTCGTTTTATGGTTGCATGACCTGATGTCGCCAGGATCTTGTGCTGCTTTCGTATTCTGCGGTTGACATTGGCTTAGATTGTTGGGAAGACTGCCGGGAGCACCGAAGATTCGACTGCCAGTAAGGATGGATGCGAAGTGCATCTGCGTACTCGAGGTAGGGCCTTGGAGTTTAGGTACTTGAGCCGAAGCTATATTTACTCATACCCCTATACATCCCCTACCTGTACTTACCTAGACCCTTCATCCGCCAAGCTAGGGAAGCCGGATGCAAAGCCCAGCGAAGGCCCACGGCTTGGAGTGTGAGTACAGGCCGCGGGCTTAGTGCATCCTCGCTTCGGGAGCCTCCGAGAATGCCCGAGACAGGCCTTGGACACCCTTGTTTCTCGGAAGGCGCATAATCCAAAGCCCTAGATTCTGAAACATGAGTGTGATGTTGTGGCCTTCCGAGCCTGACACCTAGCCTGGAATTGTTTGGGCATGAGAGTCAAATCCTGAATCCCTGAAGCTTACATGAACTCCTGAAACTACAGCCTCCCAGACTGCCATGCAGGAGGCAAAAAAAACAGCCTCCCAGACTGCTGTTTCCGTGCCGAGCGCAAACTCCTTGAACTCCAAACTCCATAGCCTATGACTCCAGAGAGGCCGGTACCCTGCACCTTCCAGGGGCGAGGCTGCCCGGAGCAGGCGCATGATCCGGTTGAGGGCTCCTGGTAGGTTTTAGGGTTCATTGAGCGTTCAGGTCTTGCAGGACTTCAAGACTTTGGAGCTTGGGGTTTCGGGGGATGGGTCGGGTTCGCGAGTGTCATGAAGCTTGGAGGTTTCCGGTGCCGAAGTGTCGTCCATTTATGATTTCTGCGCACTCGCTTGAGACTTCGATCAGTGTCGCCGTTCAATGTCTTTTGGCCGTTCAGTCCCACGAAGGCTGAGAAAACACACGTTTTGAAGCCAAGAGGCTTCATGGTGATACAAGGCAGAGTAGAGTAGAGTCTCTAGCAGCTTGTGTAGAAGGCACCCGTAGTGAGGGTCTCGTTGTTGCTTGCATAGGCCTCTTTGGCCCGAAGGCTGCGGAAATATTTCCCTAAAAATGAATGAAGAATCTAGACCGTCCGCTCATTCTTGTTTCAAAGAGTCGCCAGATCACCTCGATGAAGCATTATGCATAGGCAGAAACTTCCCTGGACAAGTATAGCTATGTAGTCAGAAAATAGGCAATGTTCCAGACAAGTGCATGCAGACATGCAAAATGCATGCATGATGCACAACACATACATACAGGCATATATATATTTACACACACACACACACACACATATATATATATATATATGTTTACACGCACACACACACACACACACATGCACATGCGTACATGCACGCATACATGCATGCATGCATACCCACACATATGCATACATGTACTTATTTAATCGCTGGATTGTTGTTCTTAAGCCTACATACGTATGAACTTTTAGATGCGTTTCTGCATCACCCACACATCTGTGCACAGGAGGGCAAGCAGACGTAAAAGCATTCAAGCAGATACTTGCACATACATACCTGTGTAACTTCGCATCTAGGAATCTAGTACTTGCACTGCACCTCCTTTCTCTGCTGTCCAATTGTGCTTCTTTACGGTGTTCATTCCTTTCCCTTCTCGCCGCATTCTGCGTAGTTATGCGTGTTCATGCTTCATAGTTACGAGTTGGCTTTGCACTTGACTTCCTGTTTCTACTGCGCTTCGTTCGTTTCGCCACTTATTCTATCCACTCTGTAGTATTCTCGCAGCAATTCGTACGGTGTAGACAGGCAAGTTTGAAGAAGTGCATTGTTGGAATCATGAGTGTCAGACCCCGGCGCCCGCAAACAGCATGTCATAAATTCACCGTAGAGTTGCTCTGCACGCATCGCGAGTTAAGTATGCCGTGTGGGTGCCATCCGAGGTTTTAGCCTACGAGCTGGCAGAGCATGTCGAGGACAGAATGCTGCACATGAGCGATCTCGGTGGGCATGCGAGGCGTCTTGTTGCACCCGAGAAGACACATTCCAGACATGCCACTCAACTTTCGGCGGCAAGCCACATCCTCGAGCCATTCTCCGCTGTGCCCATGCGCTCACGTGCAGGAGTGTGGCTTCCGGCCTGTGCCGTGCCGACACCAGGGCACCTCGGCACTGTAGTCAACTGGTCATCGTCGAACGAGGCCCTTTCCTCTGTTTCATTCATGCTCGCAACAGTGGTGGGCAATTTGCGTGCGTGACTTGCAAGCAAAGAGAACCCTCAACACGTCATGTGGGACGTCGCTTCAGGAAGGAGAGCATAAGTGATCGGAGTAGGAGGCGCGATGTGCAAAGAGACGTTGTCGCATGAAGTTGCATCTGACAAGGTTTGGCATATGTTTCTGTAAAGGCTTCTCTGGACTCTGGCTCCAGATCAGGCCAACAGAAAGCCCAGCAACCCATTAGTGATCATTCGTGCTTTGGCAAGGCTGCACTGCCGAGCCGTCTGCGAGAGACGAGGAGTAGACAGGGCGCAGGGAAGGAACCCAGTTTAACCACGAACAATACTTGTCTAAGGCGCAGGGGAGCTGGATTGCAAGATCAGGCATCCTGGCCCCGTCGCAAAAAAAAAACGTGAAGTAGGTTCTGCGGTTTGAAAGGCCAAAGCCGGAAACAGCCCAAGGCCCAAGCACAGAGACGGATCACACACAGAGCCTGAGCTTAAGCTCAACAGGCCCTAAACATCCTTCTAGGAGCTCCACGCCGAGGAATGCCGCTCGACTTCTGGAGTTTGTGTGATTCTCTGCATTTTCTATGACGGGTTTGCTTTGGTTTTTTCACACCGGTCAAGAGCGGGTACCTTGTTTAGGGTACGCATTGGGATTCGTTATTCTCTGAAGCTCCAAGTTTTGTGTTTGAATTGTGGTACAGGGTTTTGAGTTTTGGTCTGGTTGCGGTTCGTCAGCCAGGGCAAGCAGCTTATCACCAGTAAAGTAGTGAGTAAAGCCTTCAGCTAGGTTTGAATGTGTGGGGCACCGTATATCCCACTCTAGGGCGTTCCAGCATAGTCGCCATTCGAGAGAAGAAAGCTCTGTTGCTCATTCTCAGGCCAGTATCGTCCAGTGCCCTGCCCTCACGCCGGGCGAGGATGCCTGGAAACTTGGCACCTGCTCAAGAGCAGTGGGAAAGCTAAGCTGAATCCCAACTTGGCACGGGTTTTCGATTCGCACTTGATCGAAACAGCCGATAGCATTTCTCCCCTCCTGTTGCGTGTGGTGACACGGATTCGGTGCCGTTCCTGAGCAACTGCGGCACTTTCACCCCAGATGTTCCAAGGACATGGTCCGGGCGTACCGCGTAACTTCTCATGGCAGCAGCTGCTCGCAGAAGACATTCCGATGTGTTACGTAGTTTGAAGCAACGAGATTTCAGAGATGTGACTCATCATGTAACACTGATGCAACTGTGTCTTTCAATGGCCACCTTAGGCGATGTTTGAGTGCAGAGGGGGGGGGGGAGTGTTGAACATAGACCCAGAAAGGAGCTATGGAGAACAAGCCCGAAACCCTAATGAAAGGACTTAGTAATTAATCCCCATGGCGAAATCTGGGGCGAGGCTGCGGATTTCGGCCAGTGCCTTGCAAATATGCGGACCGCGGATGCCCCCATCAGCCGTCGAAGAACCAGGTCGTCATGCCTTGTTTGGGTTCTGGCCTTGCGGTCTAAGTTGTCGTTCGGGTCTAGGACTAGGTTTCAGATGCTGTAGTCAAGGTTTGGGGCCGGGTTTGGGTTTAGGATTCAGGGTTTTGGGCTTCTATGAATCGAGTTTACGGTGCTGTCGCGGACGTTCAAGCTTTCGTCGCCTACATGTGTTTAGGGTTTAGCATTTCGGGTTTGCATCGCTCAGCCTTCCCACACAAAGCAACCCTCCTCGTAGCCGGCATCTTCGGACTAGCAGAGCCCGGTTTCTCCAGAGTCCGAGTTGCATTAGGTTACGCCCAAACCCCGAACCGTGCCTGGACAGGAAAGGGAGCATGCGCTGTCGTGCCCCTTTCGGCCAAAGCGGTGCCCACACGTCACGCGACCTTTGACTGGGCATGCTTACAACCTTACGTGCCGCTACTTCCATTCATGAGGTTGTGTGGACGGTCGAGCTAGGATCGCCATTATAACAGGATGTGGAAGCTAATCCACGGCTGTCGAGTTCCAGAGTCTGCCGAGGCGAAGCGCGGATGCTTCCTCCTTTTGTACATTCAGGCCGGGCCTCGCGGAGGTCAGGCTGAGGCTGCAGGCTGTAGGTTGTAGGCCCTAAGGGCGTCATGCTTGTAGTACTTTTAAGTTTAATTCACGCCATCATGCCGCCATGTGATGTCTATGCCATATGCCACTTCTAGAGCTCACTCATGAGATCAGCCGCTACGATGAAGGCCTCCGAAACCAGTTTTGCGGCAGCAGTGGCAGAGAGAGAGAGAGAGCGCGGGTGAGGGGGGCTTGCCCTCCCACCCCTAGCCCTGGTGAAAGAAAAGAGAGACCCCCATACGAGAGACCCCCGTACTGTTTGACTTTAGTCTTCTGATGAGCTACATTCGTCTTCACTCCCCTTGCCCCGACAACGATCAGGTGGGCTTGACGGAAGCTTTGACCGGCCCTCATGCCCGGGAGAGAGAGAGAGAGAGACCCCCATAAACAACTGGAGCATCCTCTCCACGGTTCCCCGGAAGAACTAGTTAACTAGCAGAAATTACCTGGAGACTTTTGATGAACGCGAAGCCAGAAACTCGCCGGCTGCAATCCGTCCTCGGTGCCAGGAGGTGGACAGTCACGCGGCTTGCTGCGACTTCCGGCCCGTTGCCTGTGCTGGCCTCAAGGGAGTGCTCTGGTTCCAGGGCTCGAGGGCGACTTGCGGGTGTGCGTGGTGATTTGGCTGTCTTGTGCGGACGTGGGAGTCGAAACACCAAGGTTCAATGCCTGAACATGTTGCAACATGACAGCGGCCGTTTTCTTCAGGCCCATTCGAGTCAGAGGGCTGTGAGGCGTCCATCAACGCAGCAGACCTGACAGATCATGCGGAGCACTGTGACACTTGGCCTCAATATGTAACCATTTCACAGCAGAGGCAGCAGCACCAATCAGGGCAAGAAGTACAGTTGCATTATGCACCACTGCCAACACCGTAGCAGCACAGGCAACGTCTCCAGCAGCGGCAGCCATCACCAGCGTCAGAATCCATAGCATGTGAAACCAAGGATAGGTAAGCAAACGCTGAGTTTAAGTATTTCATCGTGCAGGAATGCATAGAAAGAGGAGTAACAGCAACATGCAGGCGAGCGTAGCAGCGGGAAAGGTAGTATTATTCGTCTGAAATACATATAGGTGTAATCTAATCTATTGAGAACTTCATACTGATTAGAAAGAAAAAATCTCATCTTGTATGGCAGCTCTGGGATATTTCTGCGGAAGACAGAACACTTCCCGCTGACTTGGTGTTTTGTGCTCCAACCCAGGAGTTCCGCCCTGTGCCATGCGCTTTCAAAGCCCTAGGCGCCCGCAGAGTTCCGGATTCGTTTGCGTTGTTGTGGTTAGCCTCCCTCGAGCTGCAAGAGAGCTAGAGACGGAGTAGTACAAAGGCTCGTTACGGCTGACAATCTTATCTACTACATCCTGGACAGGCTGCAAGCTTCAGCCAATGTGCAAAGATGCCGCCAAACACGCGATGAACTGCAAGTTTCGACCTGTCTCCTGCGCCTTTGCTGCACTTTTCGATGGGTCTGACCTTACCATGGGCAGTCCTGTTGTGTGTGGGATCGCATCCATACCTCCTGTGCAAGACGAACTTAGTGACTTGGTGTTCGTGAATCTCAATCAGTTCTTCTTTGCAGCAGACAGTTAAAGTTTGTCAACGTAGTCTTGGAATACTATACGCTGCTGTGAGGTTTCATGCAAGCGTGTCTCTAATCTGACTGAGCTTTTTGGCGGAGCAGACTCGACCATGTCCGAAAGGATTCTCTCTGTGCATCACTGTGTGTTCGTGTGTGCCTGCATGTGGCGGGGCTCCCCAATCGGTCACCCCTGCGACCTTGGGTAAAATGCAGAGTCAGCAATGTCGTCGCGTACCCGGTTTCAATGTCCTTTCACTGCGATCCCCGACTGAGGCAAGTATCGCCAGCGAGGATGCAGTTTGGATGCACAAAGATTTCACCACCTGTACCTTCCGATGCTCCTGGGCCTGTCCAGCCGAGGCAAGGAGCAGCTTTGCTTCTACAATTCCTTTCGACACGCCGGTGCTTGCTTTTACCGCCCAGCCGTGGCGCGGCCGAACTCGGAATTTGGAGGTCTTGATAGGATAGGCTCAGGGGCTCCTTGTTTAAGGGTCCTTATCATAAGGATCCTTTTGAGTAGAATCTCTAGTCTCAGATTTCTTAGTTTCTGACCTTAAATGTGTGTCTTGCTCAGGACAGCAAGACAAAGTCGACAGAAGCGCAATGAATAGCGCAACTGCTTGAATCTGAATCCTTGCTATCACAACATCTCTGGAAAGCATGTACTAGGAAGAAGATGAGAGCTTCTGACTAGACCGACTCAGCCGCGATTGGCTTTGGTGTAGTACTACATCACAACAGAAACTTTGCGCAGTTCTACTCATAGCGCCGGGAACCTAGTAAGAAATAAACGAAGTAGTGTGGTAGAGGCATGGGAAGTAAGGGCAGCAGCCGAGTCCCTTGTGAAAAAAGTGTGGTACTGGCGGTAGCAGTAGCCGTAGCTGCAGCCGCAGGAGCAGCCACCACCAGTTCTACCACTACTACCACTGGCCGCTGCTACCACTGCAACCACGATTACCGCTACGACCACTACCTCACCATCACTCACCACTCCGGCTCCTGCTCTTGCTCCTCCTTCTGCTACTGTGAATTTCGAACAGTTATTTTGCGGAACTGTTTTGGCAATCTTGGTCAATCTTGGTCAAAAGCAAGATGGCCAGGAATCTTGATCCTCTTGCTCATCTTGCCCCACTTGCCCCACTTGCTTGTCGCTTCGTGTAATTCTTAGACCAAGATTGACCAAGCTTGCTGGCAATCTTGCCCCTCTCAAAGTGGGCAAGATTGCAAGATTGCTTTGGCAAACTTCTTCAAATACTCTAAATTCCCGGCACACTGTACTACTACTACTACTACTACTACTATTACTACTACTACTACGACTACTACTACAACTTCTACTACGACTACTACTACTACGACTACTACTACCACGACTACTACTACTACTACCACTACTACTACTA